TCTGTTTCCCTTCACTAGCAAACATTTTTAGGTTTTCATTTCTAGAGGCAGGCACCCCAAAAAGATCATTTTTTGCTCTTCCCCAACTCCTCTGTCTGGTTATTAACCATTTGGAAAGCAGACAATGAATATGTGTGGCTCTTAAAATTACCCATGAAGGTCTGTCCCTGGTATGGTCAATGCTGATCACCAGAGCTGCACAGAATGACAGGAAGCCACAGATGCCATGCTACTACTGCAGCTCCTGACATTGCAAATTGAAGGGGAACCTGAATGCTTACCCATCGTGTGGCTAGAATTTTAAGACTTGTGCTTAATGAGAATACCAACACCATTGGGTATCACTGCCTTCTCCTGAAAGTCTAACTAACAGAAACAAAATTTATTGTCAGCCATTCCTGAGCACGTTTACAAGCACTGCCAGATGTTCCTCCATTAGGATCCAGTTTTTCCTTTATTTTCTAAGTATTTATTTCTTGCTGTATTTCAGGAAACATAGAGCTGCAAAATTCTCACCTTAATGTCATAGTTTAGGACCATTCCTATGATGAGTATCGGACAACAAGCACACAGAAAATGCAGGGTTTGAAATAGAAATTTGTGATTTCCTCAGGCTTAGAAGAAAGCGTCAGAAGCTGTGAGGCAGGACTGAAGCCATTGCTGCCTGCTCTGCTCTCAGATGCTTTGACAATACTATTGCACTGCTAGCTGTAAAGTACAGTAGTGCAATAAAGTCAGAGCATTCGCTAGCAGCAAGAGTTCTCTACCAGTAGTCAGTGCACTCAGGGTACATATCAGAAAAAAACAGGTCAAGTCAGATATTGGCTTCTGTGGATCATGGAGAATTGGATAAGGTTAATGTTCACCAAGTCCTGACACAGACACACAAGAACTCAGAGATTTCAAGACATGATTATTATTTTCATAATCCCTGTCATTCCACTGACCAGAAGGGGGTGGGGGGGAAAGGGGGAAAACACCCAACAAAATGCCCACCAGATCTGTCAGGAATCCAATTTCAAACAATTTGGTGCTCTTTTATCTGGAAACTGCATTTCCAAACGTATGATGTTTTAGATTTGCCTCATAGCAAGCAAAGATTCTAAACTGCTATCAGACAGATGTTTGTAAACTGCATTACAGGGAACACTTTCTGGACACCAGAGTTTATTCTTCTCATTTGCAGGCACAGAATCACTTTAAAATGCACTCAAAACCACAGTAATTTCCCAATGCTGTGAGTGTACATTACCACTGGGGTTACCACATGGAAGTTAGAGCACCATCAAAGGGAGGCTGTGTTTCATAAATCTCAATAAAGGTGTTTCCTTTGGTAACTTCATATAAAAACGTTGAGAATCCTTCAGGTTTGGAGGAACCAAGATCCTCAACAACAAAACCCAAAGTAACAGTGGAATGGAACAGAGAGATGGGTGCTGGGTGCTGCACAACCAGCAACAGCCCAGCCAGCCCCACGCCTGCCACCTCTCTTGAGAAGCCCTGCAGGAAATCAGGATGCTCCACAGTGACCCTGCCTCTTTGCAGGACACTTCTTTCAAAGGAAACACACACACAAAGTTGATGGTGTTTGTCACTACAAGACCAGTTAATGTTTCTCCTTGCAAAATAGCTAGAAGACAATGAGTGGAATAAAAAATTAGTGGCAATCCCATTTGGCATTTGTTTCACTAATTACCTTCTGGTCTCAGCCATACCACAGTGACTTTTGACTTGTGTTTAGAAGAAGAATAATGAGTATGCAGACAGTATTGCTGGCCAATGCCCTTTTAACATTGCACTGCTTTTTGTGCATGATCACTAGTAGTACAACATAAAAAGGGCACTGGACAGACACCACTCCAAGGAAAAAGTAGGTCCACTATACCAAAAATAGAGTGACAGAAATGCAGTAAATTGCTCTGAAGGAAGCACTCTCAGCTCATCTGACAGTTTATCCATTTGTTATCAAATTTTACTAAATGGATGTCCACAAAATTTCTGTCAGTGCAGACTGCTGAAGTGGATACTGGAGGGCACTAGCTCAGTCTGGGGAGTCCTGAGCATTACAGATTAACAAGGTTATTGTACATGAGGATACATCTATCAGCAGCGACCACCACGTACTGGATTTTCATTAGAGGCCTGGCTGCACATGTCAAAGCTGTTGGGAAGATCTCCAGTCCCAACAGGCTTCAGAGAACACTTGTGCAGCACAGTCTCAGGTGCCCAAATCCTAAAATTCAGCACCCAGAATTCTAGCATTCTGTTAGTAAGTCAGCTTTACAATTGTTTGCACAGTGAATCTCATATTGTAGATGCTATGGTTCATTCAGCTCTTCCTGTGACTGTACTTGGACCAAAAGTCTCAACCATTGATCACCCAGTATTTCCATACACATTGCTCTTTTTAAGCTCCTACATATTAGTTTAGCCCTGGTTCCATGAGACTAAAATGAAGCTTTCCATGAAATGCATGTCAGACCCTCTGGGGAAATAAGAAGTGTTATTTTCTCATACTTGTGTGGAGACAGCTGATTTCATAGGAAATCCAGGAAGAAGAAACAATAAGAGAAGGAAAAGCAAGAGACAAAGCTGTGATATGTGAGACATAGCTGCCAATGTACATATTCTGATCACCTTACAGAATGTCAGTGCACTTCTGAATGAGGTTTCTCCATAGGAAATGATTAAGTGAAATTGCTTGAGGTGTATTTAAGAAAACACCCTTTTAATGAAGACAAATAAATAGAACAAAACTCGGTGAAGATGCAACTGCCTTGTGCCACCCAGCAGGCTGGATGGGAGGCAGCACCCAGGCCCTCCACCTTCTGCTAGAGGAGATGAACAGGAGTAGCAAAGACCAAAATGTAAGACTAACAGGATGAAATCAAAATCAATTCGATTTCAAATGGATTACCCAAATGATTTGGGGTAGTTAGAATGAGGTGAATGACCAACCTGCCATCTCGAAACCTTTGGAAGTTGCTCCACGCCATCTGTGCAGATAACTGACCCAAACCAGCTCTTCACCTTCATATCTGTGCAACCATCATCTTGGTCTCCTCATAAAATAGATCATAAGACAGTGTCCTATTACTGTCTTCTTCCACTACCACATATAAAACCCCTGTTAGCTTTAAGGGGGCTAAAATACCTCTCTGGCTATCAACGTGTCCTACAATGAGAATGGTTTGAAAGGAGACTTTCACTATAGCACAGAAATAAACCATAACACTAAATAAATACCTAAATGTCAATGTCAAACTGAGGTACCTCCAAACAGCTTTCTGAATTATTATTTCTACACCAGGCTTTACCAAAAATAAATGAAACAAATGAAACAAAACACCACCAAGAATGTAGTACCTCACTGAATTAA